GACCTAGGGAGGATTTTATTTGGGGTTTATCTTTTAACAATTCGACAGAGACACAACTTTAAAATTTGATTTAATTCGGTTTTATCGGGGGGGAATGTATTTATGTTTTGTTTTAAATATGTTGTGCGCCGCCCTGAGTCCCGTTGGGAGAAGGGCGGCATATAAATTAAATTTATTATTATTATTATTATTATTATTGGTACACTGGATTTATAGCAGGATTGCATAACATTTTCTAGGCTGAAGGCTACATTAGCTTTCAAATTTAAAAAGTGGACAAGAACAGGACAGAAACCTTAAGCTGAGGTCATTTCAATTACTATCCAGTTAGAATTAAAAGAGATTGTGATATCCCTCTGGTCATGTATTAAAACATTTTCCTCTTCTGGTACATGACATATTAGAGTTCAGTAACAAATTTTGGAGGTCTCTTAGGTCCAGTCAAGCCTTGGGGGCTAGATTGTGCTCCTCTGTCTTGGAAACTTATGTCCATCAACAGTAATGGAGATCTCTCTCTCTCTCTCTCTCTCTCTCTCTCTCTCTCTCTCTCTCTCTCTCTCTCTCTCTCTCTCTCTCTCTCTCTCTCTCTCTCTCTCTCTCTCTCTCTCTCTCTCTCTCTCCCTCTCCCTCTCCCTCTCCCTCTCCCTCTCTCTCTTCTCTCTCAAGGTTTAATTCCTGGCAACTGCCTCAACAAGTTCCTGCGGTTTTCTTGGCAAGGTTTTCAGAATTGGGTTGTCACTGCTTTCATTCTTGAGCTGAAAGAGAGTGACTGACCTAGAGTCACCCTGCTAGAGAGCCAGAAAACAGGCTCCCAATAGCTAGTGCCTAGTGCCCTAACCGCTACATCAAACTGACTTTCACATATGACTTCAAAGTACTTCAAAGCACAAGCCAACTCTATAGAGTAGAACCTTGGGTTTTGTCCCTAAATCTTGCCTGCTGTATGTGCTTCCTATTTTCTTATCAAACCACCCCTGTGCTTTTAATAGAAGAAGTCTGCAAGATCAGGGGCTCAATACTCTTTATTTCAAGATAGGATTAGTGCAAAGTGCTTTACCCAGACTCCCTTTCAGGATTACTTGGAAACTGCTGCTGCACAGCTGGTGACACATAAGAACACATAAGAACCACTTGAGCACAATAATCATAAGGCACTGCATTCATTTCCAATTTATTTTTATTTATTTATTAAATTTACATGCTGCCCATCTCACTCTGCAAAGTGATTCTGGGCAGCCAATAAGTTTTCTGAGTACAGTTCAAAGGAAGGAGTAGGAGAGAGACAGCACCCAAAGAACAGGTTTTGTCAGTCACTGTTCCTGCCCAGAGGGACATCCTCACTTGAGGCTAACCTGCCCCCCCCCCCATATTTCTAAAGAAAGGCAGTTAAAATGCTGTTATTCTGTAAGGTTTGGAGTCTAATGCTATTCATTGTGTTGAGTTTTAAATTGTGGAGACTGGATTGTATTATGGTTTTGATGAAGTTTTCAGGGATGGTTCAAGTTGGAGATTGTATTGCCTTTTAATGACTTAAAATCACCGGGAGTCTTATTATGTGCTTGGGGTACATACATTGTAAGAAATAACACTTATTTTACTACTTCTGATTGACGTCAGATAATCAAGTCAGAGGAAGCATCAGCTGTAGGCCCTGGTAACCTTTTCCCCCTGGGTTTTAGAAAGCCTCTTGGAACTATGGATGCTAATGCCATTTTTTTTCAAGCAAGGCTGTTTCTGTAGCGTGTTTGGTGATGATAAGGGATGAGACAAGAGCCTTCGATTATCTAGGGGCTTTCACATTTCTACCTTGCCCTGACCTCTCCATTTACTCCTGGGTTGTGTAAATTTACAATTATTCCCCTGAGCTATAAGATGCATGACATGATTTCTAATTATGCAATTATTTAGAGCGGCAAACCGTGTAGGTTCACATAGCTGCCATACGGCATCCCACATGCATGATCCCTTAGCAAAGAGATGAGTGCTTTGTTTTGTTCTGTGTTCTTGAGGGGTGTTACATCTGTCAAATAAGTGAGCTAATGAAATCTTGCCTCTTAGACCTCAATTTTCTTCTGCAAGTACCCCCGCAGATGAATTCAAGGAAATTGGGGCTGCACATCTGTATTATTTTCCAAATATGAACTTCCAACCACCAAAACCTCCTTTGTAAATTGATACGTTTGGCGACAAAATGTTGGCACCAGAGGGATATTTCAGAGCGTGTTTGTTTGCTCTTTGCATGTGTTAATTTGAGGCCCTCTGACAAACATTGCTGGATTTTAATTAAAATACCAGCACAAGAGACAAATCCTACCTCTTCAGGAGGCCATTGTTGCCATGTTAATATTTTCCTCTGTTTACTTTCCTTGACTTTAGCTCTTGGAACTTGTATAATTATCAAGCTGTTCCCTTTTCACTTCGAGATCTCTCTTTTTTCCAAGAATCTTTTTTCCAAGATCTAACAATAAAAGCTTTTTCAAAAGCGTATTGTGTAAAGAGTTCCAAAATGGAGCACAGGACAACGTTCATTGTATTGAACCAGGAAGTTGGGGAAGGAGACCATAAGGGGTTATTTTTAGTTCAGATCGTTGCAATAGAAGGCAATAATAAGTATTAATCTAAAGCAGGCTATTGTATTATCTAATGATTTCTTCAGCATGATTTTTGGATTAGCAAAACCCTTCAATATTCAGTAAGAACAAACAAACAAACAAATTTCACCTGCTCAGAGAAGTGAAAGAGATGTAAAGGCAGACTGGTGGAAGAGTGTTGTTCTTTGAATACAAAAGATGCTTCAGATTAGGTTTGGGCATGCATGCTTTGTTGGTGCTTCTTTAAAGGTGCCACATGATCCTGGGGGGGTGGGGGTAGGGGAACTTTTGGTCTAAGGCAGGGGTAGGCAACCTCGGCTCTTTTATGACTCATGGACTTCAACTCCCAGAATTCTTGAGTCAGCTGGGAATTGAAGTCCATGAGTCATAAAAGAGCCGAGGTTGCCTACTCCTGGTCTAAGGAGAAGTTGACAACCAGCAGCAAGATGGACAGACCCAGTTACAGTGGCAATAACTGCACCATTGGCACAGTAAAAATTAAAGTCATCCAAGGTTTGGATCACTAATCATGAGCCAATACTTCACCAGAAACAAAATTCATTTTGACTGGGTTCAAATTTTATGTTAAACTGTAATTTTATCAGAGTGTGGGTAAATCCCATGGTTTTAAACCAGAGCTTATTACTGTATGAAAGAAGCAGTCTCTTGTGGTTTGTCAAAAAAGCCAGCATTAAAACAATGACTCAATGTGAAATGCAATCTTAGCAGTTGTATTTCGAGGAAGATGTTTCTAAAGTCAACTTAAAATCCAGGATTTTGATTTGTTCAATTTGTTTATTTGATTTATGTATGCAGGCATTCAGTTTGCTACCTCCAAAACTCTAGAGCAGAGGTGGGGAACTATGGCCCCTTTATGACTTGTGGACGTCAATTCCCAGAATTCCAGAGCCAGCCAGGAATTCTGGGAGTTGAAGTCCACAAGTCATAAAAGATCCTTAATTCCCCATCCCTGCTTTAGAGGAAGGACAATGGAAGGGGACCCTACTGAATAAATCCCATGCCAATGGATCATAATAGAAAACCACATGCTATTCTGATAAATCCAGGGCTTTTTTTCAGCCGGAACGCGGCGGAACCGCGTTCCGGCACCTTTTTCCGGGCCGGCCGCACCGGAAATAGCCCCTCCCACACCGGAAATAGCCCCTCCCAAATTTTACTTGCATTCCTGTTCTCTAAAGGGGCGGTCCTAGGGTTTGATGAGGGCGTGGCCAGGTTTGAGTTCCGCCACCTTTTCTCCGAGAAAAAAAGCCCTGGATAAATCTAATTAATTTATAAATATTATGTAGTTTAAGATAACAGATTTAAGCTGAAGAAAAATTTGGGGTGTGTGTAATTACTCATTCTCTGCTTCTCCAGCTGCCACCATTTATCAAACTAGTTATAGAGTGGTGTAAAAAGCTAAACTGGCCCATTAGTAAGTAAATGCAGCAAAGCAGCTATTAAAAAGAAAGCAAACAGTAGCATAGACAATGACTCATGTACAAATTCTGTGCCATGGTATTATATGTGTGTGTGTGTGTGTGTGTATATACTCACACAAAGACATGCAAACACACACAAATACTGTTTGCTAGGTTGTAGCTAGTATGTTAGATTTGATCAAGCGCTGAATTGAATTTCCCCATTTCCATAGGCAGTTTATGGCAGTATTATGATTTTGATTCCTGAGAAATGTTAGGCAAGCCTTCTTCAATTGAAGAAGACCACATATGGCAGTGTTGGTTTTTGATTGAATTATTTTTAATATTTTAATACTTTAAGGTTCTTCACTTCGTGAAGGTCTTCAGTTCTTTCATTTTCTCTAATTCATATAAGTATTCAATCCATGTTGTACACAGGTTACCCTTGAGTCTGGGAGGGGAGTTCCATCCCCACCTCATGATCACAAGACTTTAATAAATACTTTATGCATGTGTCAAAACCTGGCCTCCCCCCCCCCCAATTTTGCATGTGCATAAAGTAGCAAAGAGCAAGGCAAAACTCACAACGAGGGGAAACTTACACCTAACAACTATAGATATGCAAACCATGGGTAATGGCCCCACAGATAATGAGAACCACCTATAATTTCTGCTCTTCCAACATCAACAATAGTTCCTGTCTTTTGTGAGAAGGCTGCCTCTTTGAAATGAATGAACGAAGATTGCATCATAGCAAAGCCAATCCCTTGAATCAATTCTGTTTTTCAAATATGGTTGCAAGCTAATGTTGATGCTGAATGATGGTACTGGCTGTGTGCTCACTTCTGTATTGTGGAACCACATGGGACAGTCTATTTATGGTTTGGCCAAGTAGTTGTGCTACAGTGCACAACTAAATAATTTAAAACAGTGCACAACTAAATAATATAATATAAAACAACAAATCAACAAAAATGTAATTGCTTCAAGGAGGAGAGTTCTAATTTCCTCTACAGTTGTTAGTTTTCTTTGTTCAGGAACTTTTGCCTTCCATGTCTTCTTTCCTTCTCTCTGAGGTAGCATTCAGACAACTGGTTCCTTGCTACATGCCACCTTGGTACAGTTGGTGGGAATAACCCTGCTCTGCAAAACAATTATGGTTGTTCTTTTTATAGAACTTGTTGTATGCCCATTTAGTAGCTGATAAGAATGGTTTTGTTATATCAGTAAGGAAAACCACCACTTTCTATGATGCACATTGCTTTTAGGGAACATAGAAAGCTCCTTTCGTTACTATAAAGTTACTATTCACATTACTTTTATTTTTGCACAGGATGAATTTGACAAGCTCCGCCCACTGTGCTACACCAACACAGACATCTTTTTGCTGTGCTTCAGTGTAGTGAGCCCTTCATCTTTCCAGAACGTGACCGAGAAATGGGTCCCTGAAATCCGATGTCACTGCCCCAAGGCCCCTATTATTCTCGTCGGGACCCAATCGGACCTCCGGGAAGACGTCAAAGTACTAATTGAGCTTGACAAATGCAAAGAGAAGCCTGTGGCAGAGGAGGCCGCAAGGCTCTGTGCCGAGGAAATAAAAGCCGCCTCTTACATCGAGTGCTCCGCTTTGACTCAGAAAAACCTCAAAGAAGTCTTTGATGCAGCCATTGTGGCTGGCATTCACTACTCGGATACTCAGCAACAGCCAAAGAAATCCAAAAACAGGACTCCGGACAAAATGAAAAACCTCTCCAAGTCCTGGTGGAAAAAATATTGTTGTTTTGTATAGGGTTTTTTTTTTTGCAGTGAAAGCCTTGGAAATGGCAGTTTGATCATTGAGGGTGATTTGAGGTGACTTTTGCTGAAAAACTCTCTCTATTCCAGAATTCACAGTTAAAATCCACCACTGAACATGCTGCTAAAATTATCTCTTTCCGATTGAGATGGGGATGAGCGTGAGCTGAGAAGCTGAGGTTGACCAAATTGGGGGGTTTTCCCACTAGTGGTAGTTTCTTTTTATTGAGGACTGCTGGCCTACACTTTGGTGGAACTGAAAGTTGAATCATGAATTCACTATATACAGGTGTAGGAAAGGCTAGAACCTTCTTAGGTTCTCCTAAGAAGTCTACATGACGACTGTGAGGACTATCCTACAGTCCAATTATTGTTTTGCAGGTGGATGTCTAAAACTGTGCCTCTTAGGACATTTGGCTCAAAATGGAGAATTTCCCTGCCTGCATCTGCCTGCCTTTTTAGTATTGTAGGCTTCAGGAACTCTACATCACATTTCTGAAATGTACATTGTGTTGCTAAATTAGCAGAATCTGCACGTGAATCTGATATATTTTTCTTAAAATGATATGCCTACTTTATGCACAGTGTGGGGAATGCCATAACAAATAGAGCAGCTGTGCAAAATTGTATCTTCCTTGTATACCCCAACTGACAGATCCCTTTTACACCATGAAATGTGCATGCTTGTTGGCTTGGAAAAAGGGGAAATCATATTTTGAATAGCAATGGGCTTCTTTTCTATTTATAGAGGATATATGACATCAAAGATGTATCAATATCTGAAGAAATATGGTGCAAAATGTAGATATTGGTGGTCTTGGTGATTCCTAATCTGATGCCAATCAGTGCAAGCCTGACTTACCTTTGTTCATTTGTAATCTATAACATGAAGCGTTCTAAGTTGGGAAAAGCTTGTTTAATTTCACATGGAAACCTTTTTTCATAAGATAATCTCAACTAATTTTTAGTCTTCTTTGCTGAACCGGGTATCACAATACTGTGTCATTGAAACAATATTTGCTCATATAAGATAAACTGGAAAGAAAAAAACTATTAACTGTTCAAAATTCCAGAAAGTCTATTTTTTTAAAAAAAGTCAGGAAATTTAATCTAAGCAAATGTGCATAGTGTTGGGAATTGACTTTCATTCAAAAGATGCCAAATCTTTTACTGGCAATGTTCGTGTAGCAATAAATGACGGCAAATGCTGGTTTACCAGTGCTCTTAAGTACTTGGAGGACATGCTTTTGTACCAGTTTTATTCAGTCTTCCATATTTGAATAAACCGAACATTGGCTAAATGCCACCTATTTTCGTGGCTTGGGTGAGTTTTTAGGACCATGCAAAGAATAACAAAAGCAAAACAGCTTTTCTTTGCAATAGATTAAACTAAACTGTGTCTGAACTGTTGTAGATTTATTATGTAATTGCACATCTGTTTTGGGGATTCCTGTTCTAATTAAGTAATGCAATACAGAGATTAATTTAAACTATAACTGGGCTACTTTAGTAGCTTGATTTTTCTGTCTAATTTTCCTTCCTTGCTTTTATGTAGCTCTTTGCATTTATAATATGATCAGCCTATGTTTGAACTTAAGAAATAATTATCATTCCTGGATGAACCTTGGTTTCAAGTGTTCTTTCTCCATGTGGCTCTTTTTTATATATAGATAGATATCATGTGCTAGGATAAAATAACCCAAGTATTAACTTTCATTTTTAAACTAACTACATTTCACTATAACATCTGACTGTGGGAATTCTAAATTTTAAAAGCAGATTTTTAAATGCCAGGAACAAAACATAATTGCTGATCTATGTTGGAATAGATCAAAAATATTTTGTTTAAAAAAATTCACACTATAGGATCATTAGCACACCATGGCTGGTGCTAACCATAGCTTAGATTGAATGAATCTTTGGGATATCTCCCTTCTACAAATCACCAGCAATTTATTTTGCATCACTTGTATCATGCAAAATTAATATGAAGGCTACCTCATATCAGATGTCAAGAGAGAGAACCAAGATTCAACCAGGATCAGAGATGCTGAATCATTGTGACTGCATCCCAACAAGAATTTCTGCATCACACTAAACAACTCTTTTATGAATATCAGGATAATAATTTGTCATCCCGTATCTTTATGCTTATTTTACCACTATACAGATTCTCTTCTGCTGCATTGTAGTTTTGTTTATTTTGGATTTCATATAATGCATGGCCAGTCATTTGGGTTAAGAGTTTTGGGACTATTGGGACTTGTTCAACAAAAGGTGTCTAGCACGTTGCCTGAATTGCAGCATTGCAATCAGAGGCCCACATCAAATGAATATTCTATGCATCTGATGAAATGAAGGTAATTGACAAATCAAATCATTTTTTAATCCCTGAGTATCTTTGTGATTATTCTGCAGCAAACTCACATGGCTACTCTACGTAGAGGAATGCTGGTTTCTTTTCACTAAGTGTACTTGCATTGCTATCAGAGGAACTGTAGATAATTGAAGATTACAAAAGTGATGCTTTGATTTCCTCCTGACACATAATTGTTGGTGTTGATACTTCCACATTCCTATTGTGTCTGAATTCGCCTCACTGGGGTCCATAGTTATAATCTGAGAAGCCCAATGAATAAAACTGATATGAGATCCCTGTGGATGGCTACCAAATTTTTCTTAAGTCTTGTGTATGAAAAATGCCAGTTGGATGCCAAATGGAAAATTCCCAGTTACCCGATGGTCCAGGTGCTGAAAACCTTTGCTCTCTAGGAATCCATTTTCTCTCAACTTTGGGATGAGTAGTTGCCTACAAAATTGGTTAAAGATGTTGAGGTTTTAAAAAACTGATCAGGATGTGCCTCTTATTGTAAAGTCATGACTCTAACTCTTTTAATGGAGAAATAATGAAGTGCATATAGTAATCACATATACAAATTAGAAAAAAAAGGGGGGGGAAGAATTCCTTTTGGGTTGTTTTTCACTGCTAGTGTCACTTAGACTTTGAATTTTCTCTGCCTCACTTGTGCTATGCAATAGCCTGTCTAACCTTTTACCTGCCAGCTATCCTGGACTATAACCATCAGCATTCACAGCGGCTAGGAAGGCTCTGAGTCATAGTCTAATGTAATCTGAAGGGCACAGACTAAGCAAACTGCTTTACAATATCCTCTTTTCACCCATTTATATACATGCAGCAGAAGGAAAAAAATAGATGTGTGGTCATCTTTATAGATAATAAGTGAAAGACGGCAGCGATATCTAACGGTGTGACTAAGTCTGGCTAAAGAGCAGTTCTCTGGACCCACCAGGCTCTCTGTCCTGTCTTGCATCAATTGATTGGTGGTTTGTTTTTTTTAATGGGAAACTGGCAAAAGTACCAACTTTTGGCACCCTCAGAATTTAGAACACTGTCTTTGGAGACTACAGACGTTCAAAAATAAAGATGATAGCTGTCGGTAGTTGAGGACATTTGTTCTTGCCTCTAAAATTAAAAAAAAGGGGTAGGATAAAAGAAAATTCTTTTGCCTCCTATCTTTCATCCCCTATTTCCTGGTCCTGGTTTGGCTCAAATTCTCTCCAATATAAAAAAACAAACAAACAAACAAAAACAAATAGGTTCTTCCAGAGGAAAATAAAAATTTTGAAGAACTCATTTTTAATCCCAAGTATGCATAATCTAGAATGCACATAAATTGTTTTACAGTTTCTCACTAGAATATCTAATATAAAATAGTTTTCTTTTAAAAAAAAGATTAGATTTCCCCTTCTGTTTTTATTACTGTGTTATGAAAATATAAAATATGGATGATTTTAGAAATGGAAACTTCCCTTTTTGCTGCTAAAATTTGGGAACAAAAGAGAATAGGTGCATTCCATAAGTGAATAGCAATTAACTTTATGTAACCCACTAAAGATTGCTTTGTTTCAAGAAAGTATGTAACTTGTAATAAGTATTTTGTTTTGGTGCAAACAAATGTAGCAGTTTTGCAGTGCTGCAGATACCAATATAATGCAGGCTGCCTACATTTTTCTAGACTTTGGATGAATTTTTTTTTTTTGGAATGTTACTAGAAATGTGGAAGTAAAGATTTTTTTCTATAGTTTGTTATCTGCTGTGCCTTATGAAAAGGGTTTTCAAAAGTATAGTGCATGTTGAAAATGAGCTTTCCAGAAGGACAATATAAATCCGTTCTCCAACCTGAAATAAATCTAAAACCCTGGACTTAGAGTTTGGTACTTCCTCTTGTTCAGTTCACAATCTGTCACAGGTAAGGCTTCTTGGATACATGGAGAATTTCATCCAAAGAGAAGCATTTCAAGGCTGCTGTCTGTCATTGTGGCTTAAGTTCCATTTCCCCCCCCCCTCTTAACATCCTAAACTTGATCAGTGTGATTTCATTGTAGCAAGGATGAATGGAGTTCCAGGAGATGATCTTCGGCCTACCCCACCGCTTGAATTCCCAAGTTGATTTGGTCCATCTGACTTTGGATGCGGTCTCAGTAATGGGAGCTTATTGCTGGACTGAACGTTAGCCTTAGGAAACAATCTTTTAAACCAGGAAGATGAAGAACCTTCAGGGCTATGCAAGAGGCAATCCCCTCTGTTGAGTGTTTGAAGGACTGACCATCTAATACTATTACTGATTAATCAAAAATAAGTAAATGTACATTGGATTTTTAACTAAAATTGTTTGTGCAGTTGTTATTAATAATATCTCTTTCCCCCCCCCCCCACAAAAAAAAAATCCTGAATGAGCTTAGGTCCATGAAACAATTGAGATTGCTGAAGGAAGCCATGGTTTCTTGGACTGCCTGGATAAATGGTGTCATTTCAAAACTTGAAATGTCAATTTTCTTTCATTATTATCTCATATTTCTTTGGGAAGTAACAACATCTGCTCCTGCAAGGCCAGGGGGATTTTTCAACCGTAGCAACTTAAAAGATATCCAGGCTTCAATGGCCAGAATTCCCCAGTAAGTGCAGACATCTTAAAGTTGCTAAGGTTAAGAAATATTATTCAGGACTGTATAGTAATGTAAGTCGGTCTCCCTGCCCCATCATCCTGCAACCCTGAAAGTTGTGGCCCAGAATCATTCAATGAACTTGATGGTTAACGGGGAATTTGAAGATGAAGTTTCCCACTCCAAGTCCTACATCTTAACCTTTATACAGTATTACCCAATGGCCAATGATTTCCAGGGGACGTGGAGGCACAATGAGCGACTCTCGAATGTGAGAAAGGATGGCTTCATTCGTTTGCTGCCAAAGTCCAAGCTCTGGGCAGGCTGCTCTGTTGACATGGTTCAGACTTCCACTTCATTGACATATTTACTGAGCCTTTTTTTACAGATCTGTTTCTCCCGTCTCTAGGCATTAGTGGTTAAAGAGCCAAACTGCAAACTGCCTTCTCTGCTGTGCCAGTCAGATTCTTTTTTTGTGATAATTCTGACCAACCTTTTTCTTTTCATTCAGGTACTACAATTTAGGCTTCTCTATCATGCATGTATGAAAGAAGATAGAAAAAAATATACAGTATGGAAAGAATCCAACCGACATGTTATAGAGCCTATTAAAGTACTTCTGTGGTGTGCTGTTGGCACTCTTATAGTAGTACTGAAGGTTTTTTTTTTCTCTTCTGTACTGTAACAGTAGTTTGGTTTGGGAAAGGTTCAAAATCTTCTATCTGTGACACATTAATACTGTTATAGCTTGACGAGAGTAGAAAGAGGTAAGGCTCACAAAAAGCAATGTATTTTTTAAGACAATGCAATTGCCCATTTTTACATAACTACTGAGCTACTTAATTAAAAAGTTTCAACTATTCAAAACAAAAATGTCTATGAAAGTTTTGGTTATTTTGATCTTGCGCCAGGAAAAAAAACTCTAGCAATATACTATAGATTAGCTTTTCTTAATTTGACATTCATCATATGTGCTTGGATTATCAGACTAGACTGAAGGGTATTCTAGGTAAACATGTTTATCCCCAGATTTTGTTAAAAGTACCAGAATAAATGCAGCACAGAGTCCAAGGAATGGGTATGGGGTGTATAAAAAAGTCGGAAGATGGTGGCTATGGCTGCATAATAGTAATCCTACCCATTTGTTTTTGTTCCACACATGTAAAAAAGCGGTGGGTTTTGATGGCTGTGCCATATCTACTTTTATTTGTATTCTGGAAACTTAAGGCAAAGAAGAGGCCCCTATAACTTCAAAACTACACTTTTGTGTTTAAAAAATAAAACAAACAATTCTCTATTAAAATCCAGATGTGATAATTGGGTGACTAAGAGCCAATAAACAACCTGAATCCTGGGAAGATGGAGATCTTTTGCATGGTTGGTTGCCAGGTATAGGAACTGGGAACTGGGTGGATGTGACTAGCATTCTCAGAATGTGATTAGAAGGTGCTCCAAGAAATCACTAATGAAACAAGTTCCAAGTATCCTATTGCACCTTTCGGTTACTGCTTCAGTTCCGCTCTTTCCTGGGAATCATGTTTATGCATTGGTGACCTCCTGTTTTAATATTGTAATGTTCTCTGCTACAGATGGTGCAGAAGGTGGTTATTATTTTGTAGAATGGGACATTTTTGCTGAAACAACTGTGCCAGTGGTGGGATTCAAATATGTGAACAATTGGTTCTCTGTATGGATGCCGTTTCCAGAAGTCCGTTCTGGGCTTGGGCAACAAAAAATTAGCTACCGGTTCTGCCGAACTGGTGCGAACCGGCTGATTCCCACCACTGAACTGCACTAATCAGCAACTGAGTCAGGTTCAAAGGTTTGCTTATGTTTATAAATCCTTAAACAACTTGGGATCTAAATATCCAAGCAGAGTGGACATATTACAAACCTAGTTGACTATTAAAATCATCAGAAAGTCTTACTTCTTCTCTCAGGCTTTCCCATGATGGTTCAGTTTTGTTTTCTTCTCCTTGTTCATTTTTTTAAAATACAAAACAAAAACCTGAGTCTGTTTTTTAATTGTTTTAATAAAATAAATAAATGAATAGTTCAAGGTCAGCAAGCTTCTCACATATAAAATATCATAAGTAGATTTAGTTTCAATAAAGAAGGTTTTGTCATTTGATTTTTGGGATATGACTCAGGCAGTTGTCATTCTTGGAACCTTTTCAGACACACATGGATCTTAGAAGCAAGCCTGACTTTTCTCAACTTATGCAAACAGACAATGGTGGGATTCAAATATGTGAACAACCGGTTCTCTGTGTGGATGCCGCTTCCAGAAGTCTGTTTGGGGCCTGGGCAACAAAAAATTAGCTACCAGTTCTGCCGAACTGGTGCGAACCAGCTGAATCCCACCACTGCAAACAGGTGCTGTTTTATGACTGCTTTTGTCTCATTTGTTTTAAGAATGAAAGTGGGAAACAGCATTTCCTGAAGACAGCTACTGTAGTCTTTTGATTCTATACCTCCCTTTCCTCCCCTGAGCAATTCTCATGAACTTTCTTCTCTTTCCTAGAGCCGTTTCACTTCAGGATCCCCTAAATTTGATTCTATCACTGTGGTGTACCATACAATGTCTGCAGCATGCAGGTTTTCTGCATAAGAGGCGATGCTCTCCTGAAGAATAGACCCCATTTCAGTTCCCTTTCAGTTCCCAATTTTAATGATTGGCTACTCTCATGGATCGTTGCCCAAGAGGTCTTTGTTTTATTTTTAAATTCTCTATAAAGTTGTAGATACTCCAGCCTGTTGATCCGTTATTCTAGTACACAGACGATGCTCTATTTGGTTACCAAAGGACCCATATTTGGAGAACAGAATTAATTTTTAGAACATATGATTTCTGCCAAGAGCTTTGGAATTTAGTGCCCCATTTGTAAGAACTAGGTGTCTAAGATGTCAGAAGTGAAGAGGAATATGTGGCACCACCCCTTTCCATTGAGTTGCTTTTGATCTGCCTGCTCATCTTTTCCCTAACTCGACTGTGAAAGACAGCATGAGATGAGTGGCAACAGCAGAGTCAGAATTTGTCCAGTTCTGATTTCCATTGTTATCATATTGATCTAGAAACCATCCCAGCTTTTCTATAAAATGTTTTTAGGAGGTAAAGGAAGCCTCACGATGGGAAATCTTGCTTTCCAAACTGCAACAATATCTCTTGGTTTGGAAGAGATGTATCATATGTAGGTGTCTAAGTGTCCAGGAGTCTCTCAGGGCCCATCTTGCAAAAGCTTGCTGATCTGGGTTACCATAAAGAGATTATAAAGCCTTTGAATTTATTGGCTGGACTAGAGGGAGAAAGTCTTCAGTTAGAAAGAGGGTTTGGACTACTTTAAACCAAGACCCAAGCAAGAATTGTATATGGTCATTTGGATAGCTACATCCATGGTATTTTTCCCATGGTTCATGAGATGTGCCTGAACCATCTGCCTGGGCTAATCAGATTATGAAGGAAACCCTTCATGTTAAGATGGGAGCACAAGAACTAGTTATAAATATCTGTACCCAATTAATAGCATAATGGAGCAAGAACCAGCCTGCAATAGTTATTGCTGGTACTAAACCAGCTCAGAAGTCTGGAGATCAACCACTACTTGCCTGTGCACAG